GAGAGAGAGAGAGAGAGAGAGAGAGAGAGAGAGAGAGAGAGAGAGAGAGAGAGAGAGAGAGAGAGAGGCAGAGAGAGAGTAGAGCCATAGCCGGTGTACTCCAAGATGATCACAGAGTGTATGTGCGGCAGAGCCGCTGGTGACTTGAACGATTCCTTTGTACAATCATAATAATTTGGCGACGGTTTCTTCATGCATTGAGTGTATCTCAGCTTGGCATCCCAAGTGTGGACTCTCATGTGTCATGTGAATGCTCTTTGTGTGTGTGCGAGGTTGAGCGCTGATTGGGAACTCGGATCATTGCATTTTACACACACATACACACACACCCACACACACACAGTCTTTTGGACGACAGGCAGAATCTGAGGACTTGGGCGAGGCTTGCCACCACACCCCCCCACTTCAGAATTTTCCTGACAAACCCTATTTTTCCGGGATGCGGCAGCGCACATGGGTGTGCTGCGTTGTGCGGTCCGCGTGCGCGAGTGGTGAGCACGCGGTGCGCCGCAAGTATGGAATCAATGCATGCAAAGAAAGAGTTCCAAGAGGGTCGGAGAGTGAAGTGAACAGCCATGGAGCAACCTACGTACTAGTAGTTACAACGTGACACAGATGCCGGGGAAGGATGCGCGAGAAGCACATCATTCAAAACTGGCGGAAGACACAGAGCCCCATCAACTGTGGCCTTTATTCGTGCAACCTCCGTTGGCAACCTGGTGCCAGAAAGTACTTCATCCAGCACCTGCAGGGACATGCACAGAAAAGAAACAACGAACATTGATAAATCAGTTAAAAATAACTAAAAATAAGATAATGCAAGGAAATAAGCAATGCAAACACCAATAAACCAGATTGCAACATCTCGCAGAAGACCAGACATCATTGAGCCAAAATTCATAGCAGAAATCCAAGCGAGATGCACACCACAAATAAGAACCAGCAAAACACGAAAGTTTCATGATGAAGCAAAACACCAAAGTCTCATGATAAAGAAGCCCTTCCAACACCTCCAATCATCAATGCAACAACAATGCACCTCTCATATTGGCGTCCTCAACCCCGACTCTACCTCGTATGATACATGCTCAGTCAAGCGATGTATATGGAGCCAAGGATCCGCAAAGTGATGAAAACAACGCGAATGGACAATGCAGCGTCAGCGAAGCATCAACAGGCAATGTACATCCAGATACATACGAAAATAGCACAACGTAGCGCAACGGAAGACTCAAAGATATGAGCTGACCTGACAGAAACTGACGCGACACCCATCATACACCACACATGTGAGAGCGAGAGGAGGGACCGCATACATAGAGGAAAGGTCGCTCCTTGAGCACGCAAATGGGGAGATACCACGGGGGAGGAGATGGGGGAGAGGCAAGACGAAGATGGAGAGGAGGGAGAAGACCAAGATCACAATAGCGAAGTCCAAAAATAGTCTCCCGCCTAATGTCCAATCCATGTCTGCCACAAAATTGTCGAATCAGAGGGAGGACAAAGAAGAAGAAGATGGAGTCGTCCTCCTCGCTGTCGTCACCTGCGGAGGTGGCCGCTGCTATGTCGCAGGTCGCCAGCGCGGAGCTCGGCTATGGCGCCCAGGTACGTGCGCCGCTGCAGGGTGGCCTCCGCCCCTCGCTCTACCTACACCTCTACTCCCTAGCACAGCTCCAGCAGCGTGTCGTCCAAGAAGTGAGCTACTCGAACTGTGTGTCTGCCCTGGCCTGGCCCAGCTATAAGTAGCGCTGGGCCTCGCTGGTGTGCCTCTGGTCATTGGCCTGAAACAGCCTGCCTGGGTCCCTACCGGATGTCCAGGCCCCGCTACTGGACGAACACGAACGTGGCCCAAATGGGCCTGACTGCGAACGAAGAAGGCCCAAAACGTGGCCTTTGTCCGAACAGACTTTCGGTCTGTTCGGACAAACTGGAAGTCCGAAACGACGCCTAAACAGACAAAAACAGGGCAGCAAATAAATAAATAATATCTCCACTCTTGACAGCCTCCCTGGCCATTGATGCTGATGTGGCACCTCACTTGCTGATGTGTCACTTTGGCTTGATTGGAGTGTGACACGTGGCAATGTGACTTACGCTGCCATCCGCCAAAGATTGGTGGTAACAGTTACTTGCACTTGTGTGGTCTGACGGGCGGTACAGCACGAGACTATGCTGTAGTGCCACCCGCCAGAACTTGTGCCTGGCCATACAGCCATCTGCTCAAGGACAGAGAGAAGAATATCAGCTAACACATTGTTGACTGCTGTGTTGCTTGATTGATGAGGATGTCTGCAAACTCACCATTGTGTTATTGTCTTGATCACACTGGCCATGGCTGCGGAACCGGTGTGCAGACTATAGGAAAACATCATCAGAAAAAGAATTAGCAGAAGTAGATATAGCAAAACCTTGATTCTGTTTCCTATTGAAATTTATTTAGTCTTTTTATTTCGTATGTCTTGCTGTGGAAATTGAAATTTAATTGAAGTGTGGTTGTGGAATTTATAATTGTCGTTTAAAGTTTATTGTGCAGCAGACACATACTGGGAAAAATGACTTACCTCTGGAACTGCTTGCGTGCGTCGATTCATTCCTCTTCTCTTTTCTCCTATCTCGATCACCTTCTTTGCTGATGAAGAAGGTAGGGTAATGCGAACCCGTGGCCAAGTGGAAGAAAGACGGCAGCAGATGTTGGGCCGTCTTCACCAACTTCTCACTGAACTGCATGACGCTGGGCCAGACACCGAGCGACATGTTCGCAGCCAGTTCGATCTGTGTGTTGCAGAAGATGAACTTTCAAGGGCTGAAACTGCCGTTCAGATGCTGGAAACCAGTGGGAGAATGCAACAGATAATTGACCGGGGACGAATGGCCCTCGATCAATTTGTTGCTGAGCAGTTGGCGAAGATAGCCGGTGTAGAGGCCAAATAAGAAGGAAAAGGAGAATCAAGCGAGAGAAAGGAAGAACCCGAACTAACAGAAGAGATCATGGACGACACCATCAAGCAGTTGCAAGGTGCACTCGAAGACGTATTGAAGAAAAAGGAAGAATACCAGAGGCAGCGGAGAGAACAGGAACAACAAGCAAGGGAAGTTGAAGAAATAAGATAAAAATTCATATTGAAGATTCAGAAACTGACGTGGCGTCTATCCTGCAAAATATGATGGCTTAACTAGCGCACCTAGAAATCAAGATTGATCACGTCAACGCAGAACTGCAGACGGTGATGAGACTTGTAAAAGGAAAGAATAAGGTTGCGCATGAAGAGGTAGCTAAGGAACGGGAAGAAAAGAAAGGGCCTCAGGGAAAGTTGATGAAAGACGTCCCCGAGACCATAAAGAACCCGAACCTGCGAAGAAAGTAGCCCCGAAAAAGGAAGAAGGGGAGAAACCGAAAAGGAAAGAAAAGGTGAAAATGAAGTTGCCTTTCACTTACAACGGGAAGCAGGGAGAATATTTGTTGTTATGGATTGCCGAGATCTAGACGCATTGTGGGACCACTCTGGTGGCGGTGGACAGTCAAGTTGCGTTCTCCACCTCTTGTCTGGGGGAAGTTGCAAAGGAGTGGGTATGCCGCTGGCTTCGTGGATATAGGTGAGTGGGTGAGAACAATGACTTTGCGGGAATTCCTCCAGAAAATCAAGGAGCGATTTCTCGACAAAACGACGGTCGATAAGGCCTTTGACAAACTCACCACTATCAGCCAGAAGCATTGGTCCACTGTCCATGCTTTGTCGCGTGAAGTGGACCATCTTTTGCAGGTGCCTGGGTTGAACCTGCAGGATAACCAGGTCATGTATGTCTATCCGCGTGCACTGCACGAGCCCATAAATGGACAGCTTGTGGCAGAGTCAAAGTCTGGTAAGTACAACTACTGGCAATTCTATGACCTTGCTCTCCGGATAGAACCGATGACAGCGCAGGTAAAGGGAACCTACGCGGCCGTTATAAGGGGTGGACAATCGATCGGGTACGGGAACGGGAAAAGAGTCATGTGGAGGCAAAAGTGACAGGACCACACTCTCGTCGTCTTCGACGATGAGACTGATGAGAAATGGCCCCTCGAAGAGGCAGAGGGTGAATAAAGTGGTGGCGGTGAGTCCGAAAACGGTGATGTCATTGCCATGGTGGTCAACAAGGGTGGCACCAACCGAAATGGGGGATTTAAGAAGAGGAGGCCACCCTCCTTCCCATAGCATCCGGGCATTGCGTTTGGCCGGCCCTAGGAGAAGATGGGCCTTACCTAGACGGAATGCCAGGAACGGATGGATAATAGGCAGTGTCTCAAATGTGGCACTGCGGGACACATAATTGCATGGTGTCCCCTCATTCGTAACCCAAAAGGGAGCAGCCAGTAGGAGTACTATTTTCTCCTACTGAGTTGGCGGGTTCAGACAAAGGTAAGGCGTCGACAACCCCTTTCAACCCCCCGACTCGCAAGGCAGAGGATCTCTTTTTCGACCCATCACCCATATCACCCTAAAAAGGTTTTGTGTTATGTCTCACTGGGTGATTCCCTTGATGAACTTGGTTATTAACTCATCGCATTAGGAAGTTCATGGGTTAAGAAAACGAAGTCTAAGGGTGAGTTAATGATTATTGACACAAAGATTGCGCGTACACGAGTAGGTGCTTTGCTAGATCCTGTGTCTACGCAATCCTATATCTCAGAAAAGGCAATTCGCAAGTTGCACCTAGGAATGAGAGTATCACGTCTATGCTTGCTGATAAAAGCACGATAACTGTCTCTCAGTTTGTGGATCATGCGAAATGTTGTTTTCGCACTAAGGAAGGAAAAAAAAACTTGTATGTAGTCACCTTTCTTGTAGAGGAGAATTTACCCCTTGACTTGATTCTGGGAATGGATTGGCATGGGGAAGCCGACCCGGAAGTCAAGTTCAAAGATACAATTATTAAATTAAACGATGAAAACTCTAAAATGAAATCGATTAAACTGTTTCATAAGTGTGGTTTTAACTCATCACGCTCTTTCTGTTATATGAGTCTAACTGCCTTTCGAAGTATGGTCACGAAGAAGAAGTCGGCACATGATGTAATGATGGTACTCCTCAAACGAGTAGGTGAATATTGTTCGTCCTATCCTTCTCCTATTAATAAACTACTCAATGAATATAAGGGCTTGCAAACTGAACCAACGAGAGTAATTGACCGTGCTATAAAACACACAATTGAAATCATTCCCGGAAGTAAGATGCCCAAAGGACTGATCTATTGAATGTCCCCGAGGAAATTAGACGAACTGAAAAAACAATTGCAAGAACTTACTGACAAAGGATGGATTCAACCGAGTTCCTCTCCCTACGGTGCACCTGTCTTATTCGTACCTAAAAAGGAAGGAGAACTTAGACTTTGTATTGACTACCGAGGACTAAATTATGTAACTATCAAGAATGTGGGACCTCTTCCTCCTATTGATGATCTTCTCGATCAACTGCAGGGTTGCAAGTATTTCAGTAAGATTGATATGAAGTCAGGATACCACCAGATCGAGGTGCCACCTGAAGATCAACACAAGACGGTGTTCAGAACAAGGTATGGGCACTATGAGTTCGTTGTGATGCCCTTTGGCTTGACTATCGCCCCCGCAACCTTTCAAAGGTCTATGAATGAACTGTTTAGACAGTGGCTAGATCAATAAGTAGTGGTCTATCTCGACGACATCCTCATCTATAGCAAGACGTTGGAAGACCATGAGAAACATTTACGAATGGTTCTAGGGAAGCT